TATGTGCAGTGTTAAAACTTAAACCAGCATGGTTGGAACGAATAAGAGAATGTCAAAGTAAATATGAAACATGTTTGAAAAGAATTGATCAAGTAAAGAGCAAAGCGATTAAAGACTTTGAGGTTAAGTCGGATGGAAATTTGTATTATAAAGGAAGAATTGTGATACCAGATTATGAAGAGTTGAAGAAAGATTTATTGACAGAGGCTCATTGCAGTCCATTGACAATGGACTCGGGTGGAACTAAGATGTATATGGATTTAAAAGATCGGTATTGGTGGCCAGGGATGAAACGAAGCATCACCGAATTTGTGTCTAGGTGTTTGACATGTCAACAGGTCAAAGAAGAACATCAAGTTCCGTCTGGATTGTTGCAACTACTTTCCATTCCACAATGGAAGTGGGAAAATATAACGATGGATTTTGTTTTGGGGTTACCCCTGACTCCAAACAAAAGAGATTCAATTTGGGTAATTGTTGACCGATTGACCAAGTCAGCACATTTTCTTCCTGTCAGAACAAATTTCTTTATGGAAAAGTATTTGGAACTGTATATTAGAGAAATTATTAGATTGCATAGAGTGCCTGTTTCTATAGTCTCTGATCGAGACCCTCGATTCACTTCGAGATTTTGGAAATCTTTGCATAGAGCGTTGGGAACTCGTTTAAACTTTAGTACGGCTTTTCATCTTTAGTACTTTCACAATCATCTTCTTCATCTCCTATACGTACTTTGATATACATGAGTTCGCAGCTTATGTTGGGGAGTGCTCGTGGTGAAGTCATATAATTTTTATTAATTATGGAATTATTGTGATGTTAGGGAGATATAATTGACATAATATAGTTAAAAATAATATTATATAATTAATGTTTCATATTATTAAGTTAATTGAGAATATGACAACTCTTAAATCATTAAAATAATTTATTTATAATTGATTTAAGATTTTAATATTTTTAAACTAAATTTATTATTTTTCATATTTATTTTTTAATGATTATATATATGAAATCATTAAAAAATATTTTAATATTCAAATTATAATATATATTATAATTAATGATAAAAAATATATATTATATATTATAATTAATATTCAAATTATAGTCATAAGATTGTGACATGTGTCACAATTTGATTGGAGAAATAAATTTATTAAATTAAAATGAAATTAGGACCTAATTTAAAATTAAGAATTAAAGTTAATCTTGGTGATCAAATTGATTAATTCTAAAATATAGGGGATTTAATCTACAAATTTAATACATGACTAGAATAAAATATTTTAAAGTTAATGCTCAAATTAAAGCATTAGAAAAATTAAAAACAAAATCATAATCAAATTAGATTAAATGAAAATCCAAAAAAACAAATCATATGCAAGTAGTGACCAAAATGGAAGAAAACAAAGCAGTGTGTCAGCGCCGCGAATACGTAACTTTACAAGGACCTGCGCCCTAATCATACCAACTTTTTTAAATGCCATGTAAATATCTTTGTTAAATGTTAACGTCGTGTGACCATTTTGAACTCATTTAAATAGTTCAGTGGTATATTTGTCACAATTTTGAAAATGATGGTCATTTCGCGACCTGACCCATAGTTAAATGGTCATTATGTAGTTTACCCATAATTTTAAAATATTTTTGAGATGTAACGTTAACTTACACATTAACTATATATTACATTATTTTTTGTTTATTTGATAAAATTTTAAGATGGCATGATTAAATTTATTGAACGACCTAACTTGTATAGGTTGAAGTGAGTGTTATTCACGTATTATGTAAATCTTTTAATTGAGATATGATAAAATAATATTTTAATAATATATACTTATATCATCGTTGCTTTTAAATATTAGTTTTATGACATAATGTTTCAAACACTAGTTTGACGATTAAACAGAGAATTGATCTATAAAATACAATTCAAACGGCTTTAAGATCATATTTTATCATATCTTAATCATTAAGTTAACGTTCAACTAGGGTGACCGTCAAAATTTTAAAAGAAAACGACAAATTTAAAACATATAAATAATCAAATGATTATTTTATAATTTTTAATAATTGAATGACTCAACAAATCAACACTCTATAATCGGATTGTGTATAATTTACTTTCAATTTTGTCATAATATATTTTTGGGTAAACTACACGTTTGAGCCAAGTTCTTTCAAGGTCCGTGGCCGCAACTACTTTAGTGAGAGCACATATTCTTCATCGGTTTTACTTGCTTACTTTTGTCTTTGTTGTTATAGGTTCCTTTCCTTGTTATTTTTGCTGCTACCAGCTAACTAAAGTCAGTGATACTTCCATTTTCTCGTTTGATAGGAACAAAAAGAAGGAATTTGCTTCAAACTTGGTATTTTTCTCCCTCAATTTTTCTTCTTTAGAACGAGATTGTTCCGTGATAAATACTACGGATTCGGATAGTTCTATTCTTCACGATTCGAATGGTTCTGATACGTTAACACACTTTCAGGGTGAAAACGGCGTTTCAGGACAGATATAAGCTGTGTACACTGGATTTTGGCTTGACTGTTCAGGTGAACCTCTCGACTACCCAACGCTGCTTTCTATGTTTCGAGATTTTACTCGGACATTGCCGTTGATATAGTTCCGACGTATGAACAAGGAAATAAAGCCGATGACTTGCCGGAGAACATGCTGTGCTGCGTAGGGTTGAATCAAATCAACCAGAGCAATTATGGTCAACTGCAGTTATAGGCAAGAATTCTTCTTTTTACAAAGGCGAATGCTTAGATTTTCATTTGTTTTTTTAACCTCGAGTGAGGAATTAATCTTTGCAAGTTGTATCGTGCCTTTTCTACGATCAGTTTGTCATTTTATTCTTCTGTATAGATATATTCAGATCGCCAAGGTGAACATATATGCTTCTTGAACAACATTATTAGTAATTTAATATATTATTTTTTTCAAGTTGCTCGTTAGTTTTTCGAAGCGGTATAAAGTAGTTCGTTTCAATTGGTTAAGAAATCGAGTTAAGCTCGAGTTGAGTCTATTCAATTTGAGTGTTAATTGAATATAAATAACTCGCGATTTGTCTCGTCAAACGGTCATCAAAGTATATCGAAGTATTGAAACACCAAACCTTTAGATGTTTTTTTGTTGATTTAGAACATCGTTTAGTATTTAAGAGCATAGTGATCAAACCAGGAGTGAAAAAAAAATTGATTGCTAAAATTTGTAATTTACCCAATAAAATAATGTTAAGTAGAAAAATAAGGATCCGTTTGGCTTTAAAAAATATTTTTTGTTTTTGTTTTTATAAAACAGTTTTTATTTTCAGTTTTCTAAAAATTAAAAAACATGTTTAGTTAATATAAACGAAAACTTGAATCCATAAATAAAAATAATGAAAATATATTTAATATCTAATTTTTTAAAATAAAATTAGACAAATAGTTATTAAATAACTAAATTAAACTGTAATTGTTAAAAAATATTACATAAATTTAACATATGAGTTATGTAAATATAAAACAATAAAGTTGATAATAAATTTCATAATACAATAATCATTTTAATTTACAATAAAAATATAATGTTAATGGTCTCGACATCCATTAAATTTTAAAAAAAAATATTGTTGTAAGAAGGACCACACAAAAGTGTTATTAAAAGAAAAATTCGTTTAGTGGTAATTAAGGTCCTCAAACTTTTTGAGGTAAAACTAGTGCAGTTACTACACGCTTTTTACATTTAACGTGACCCTTAAATTGAGAAGAAAAAACTAATTTAACTCTTTCACCGATTAAAGTTGACCATCACGATGTTTACATGACAATTTATGAAATTTACATGACAATCTCTAATATTTCGATGTGATAGTTGACGATATTATTATGATAGTACACGATGGACGATTATGTGATAGATGAGTTTAATTGTTTTTTTGGCTTTGAGGATATAATTGATTTTTTTTTTTAATTTGAGTACTTATTTTGTTTTGGATAAATCGATTTCATAATTATCCAAAGAAAACAGTCAAAGCTGTACATCCTACAGTAACAAACAGAGCTCAAAACCAAACTACCTTTAATCCCCTCTCAGTACAAATCTGCGCATTCACCCCAGTAAGTTTATCCAACCTGCACCTATACAATCTCAGCCGAACAACATCTCTAATACAGGTAATCACCTCATCAACCGATCGAGACTTACCTCTGGATTGTTTTTTTTTTTTTGAATTACAAGGAAAACTAACGAAAAAGGCTTAACAGTTCACTTCTGCCTGAGCAACCTCCAAAAGTAAGCCCGTTACCTCCACCGGTGGCTCAAGCAGCTCTCGCATCATCCAGGTTCCCACCCAGAGCAAGGCATGCTAATCTATCTGCAACTCGATTACATTCCCTAGGAGCAAATTGGAAATGCAACTCGATTACACTCCCTTGGAGCAAACTTACCTCTGAATTGTTAAAGATCAATTTAAGATATTCAATACTATAAATATAAAAATATAAATAATTATGTAAATTAATAAATAATCAATTAAAAAATATAAAAATATAAACAATTAAAAAAATATTTAATTTTAAAATATAAACAATTATTATGATATTCGATACAATAAATATAAAAATGCTAAAAAATTAAAGTATTAAAAAATATCAATTTAAGGACCACATTAAGTATAAAAAAATTCAGGAGTCATTTTGATTTTTTTTAAAGTTTGAGAATTTTAGATACCATTAATTTAAAAAAATAGTAGAAGGATTCAAACTCATGTAAGTTAAGTTAAAAATATATATCTATATTCTCCTATTTTCTATTTTCCTAAAATAATTTTAATGAAAACACTGAAAATATTTTTATTATATTTTCATATTTTTACTTGTTTTTGTTTTCATTTTCTAGAAAACATTTTCTAATTTCACAAACAAACATGTTTTCTTCAACGTTTTTTATTTTTTAAGAAAATGAAAATAAAAATAGTCTATATTTTCTAGAAGTAAATGTAGTCTAATTTTCTAGCACCCCAAAAATTTATTTGGCTTCTGCCCCACGGTGCCATCGTTTCCGGCCAAAGCTCTATACTTATCTTTCCTAGTAAAATTTGTACATTCATATGATAAGCTTGCAGCAATCATTCTTTGTATGTAATTCGCAACTTCATGGCTTGATCTCCCACCGCTGCATGTTAAATCATATGGCAACTTGTTTAGGAACGTTACTTCATAAGCCGGGCTAGGGTTCATGAAGAAGTAAAATGGGTCCATCCCTTTCCACCCCATAGCCGTCGTTCCGTGGAACATGCTCATCTTATTCGACATCGCTACCGGAACAAGTTCGTCGGTTAACTCCGCGAACAAAGCCGAAAACCTCAGTAAAAATGGTTCCCTACATGTTGTTCCTTCGGGGCAGATGACTAGGTCGCCTTCTTGTAAAAGCTTTTTCATCATGGAAGCATCCGCGGCGCGATCGCGACTAAGACGGGCGGTCTTGATAGGGGAGATGATTTCGGATAATCGCGACACAGAGTATGTAACGGCGGCTACCGGACGGCCTAAAGCCGTGGAGAGGAAGATAGGGTCAAGTAGGGACCTATGAGAGCATATAAAAAGGACTCCGTTTTGACCTATTGATTTTTTAGCCGGAGCGGGTGGGTTGCCCTTTATGTAAACTCGTACACCGAGTGCCCAAAAGGCATAATACACTAATGGCATCGGGAGGAGGGAGCCGGCAGCGATGCGGAGGCAGGCGAGGAGGAAACCGACAGGGATCCAAAGGATGATGAGAAGTGCCATGAATGGCGTTGGTTTTTGAACAAGCCGGCCATCATGGAAAACTATTGGTTTCGGTAGTTTATCGAGGTTCACCGGTTTAACTTCAGGCTCTGCTGGAACCACATAAGCTTCCTGCAAACCAAAATAGAAAGCCTTTTAAAACTTAAACGTAACATTAAATTACGGTCACAACGTAACATAGCATTTACAAATACGACACAAGATTAACATAACGTTATAAGCGTCTCATGTGTCACCTTGATAATTATTAGACATATACGAATTCGAATTTTGTTATCTATAATTTACTATTCTGTAAAGAGTGTACTTGAAAAGAGTTGCACCTTGCACAATCTCATGAAAGGATAATCAGTCTTTCGATCACCAAGAGCAATATTGGGCATAGGCTCATCTTTAAAGGCATTCACAAGTGCATCGGCTTTGTTTTGTCCCACAAGAATCCCTGGATTCTTCACCCAACCAGTCGCTCTACCTTTAAACACATCGATTTCGGTTCCGATCACCGTATCGGCTCCCAAATAATCCTTCAGAAACGGCTCCACCATAATCCTAGGGTTCGCCGTGAGCACGCATCTCTTCCCACATGAAGAGAACACCCTCCAAGCCTCCGGATGCAAATCGCTGGAGTAAAACTTTGGCAAAACAGCTCGAGCCAAGGATTCGATATCGGAAACTTTCATCCCGACGAAGCTCGCGAAGATTAAAGCCCGAATGCCGGCCGATTCGGAGATGAAATAGTAAAGGATCCCGGCCATAGGGGAAACTAAAAGCAAGAAGAGAAGCCTGAATACGCCGCCAACTTCGAAGGCGACTAATGCAAAGTAAGGGAAAGAGCTTCGTCCTCTTAGCAGGGTTCCGTCCATGTCGGCCACCACCGTGTCTTTTTCACGTCGGATTGATGCACATCGGGCAATGCTTGGAAACAATAAATTACTCTTTTCCCCTGGTTTCGCCATTGTTAGGCTTTTAGAACAATTTTTTCTCTCTTTAAGCTTCGTTTAGAGTTTGCTTCAATGCATGCTTTGAGTTCTATATATAATAAAAGCCTTTGTGGGGGCACCGAGACTTCCAAAATATTTCTTTGGAGACAACGATTATATTTTGTAGTAAAGTTTTACGTCGCTTTTTTCCTTCTTGATTTCTTCATAAAGGTATGTTGGTCAAATAAAATATACTTCATTTTGTACATTAGTTGAATTATTTTTTCTGGCCAATTAAAATATACACGAATAGTAAATAAAAGAAAATATGAGTAAACATTTAATAAGGATTAAAAGTATCATATATTTTATATATTTTCATTAAGTTAGTTCAATCATTTAACCATACATGCGTAAATACACGGTTACATTCGTTGGTGCTCGAACTTGAGATTTTTAAAATTACCAACCATCCCTTTACAGTGAGATAGTTTAATTCGTGCTCGTGAATATTAAAATTTGCTTGCAGAAAACTACGTTAAATGGAAATTGGCCATTAAAGTAAGTAAAAGAAAGGCATTTGGCCTTTTTTCGAATAAAATGGCCTTCGATGGAATTAATGGCAGTCGGCCATTAATGAAAGAACAATGACGCAAAACCAATTGCAAGATTGAATCACGGCCACAAACATCGAAAAGAAAAGGCATGCACTTCCGGATCATGAAATAACTTTTAACAGCGGTGACTACTTTGTAAACGTTTTTGTTTTTTCGATGACCAAAATGAAATTTTATGAAAATGGAGTGACATGCTACGGTATGTGCCCTTATTTATATAAAGAGATTCCACGAGAAACTTAAAATGTGAGTAATGAATTTAGGAAGCTACGTACAGTTTGATAAAGTAAGCAATAAAAATGTCCTTAAAAGTAAATGGTAAGAATAGGTAAGAAAGGTTGTTAACTTTAACCTCACATAAATTAAATTAATCCTCTTTGATTTACCCGCCATTTTGTTTGTCACCTTTCTTCATTGTATTATTTATGTGTATTTTTCGTTTTCTATATTCCTTTCCTCGTTCCATTTTTAATTCAACCCTTCACTTTGCTAATAAATTTTATTTCTTTTTTAAAATAACAATTATACCCTAGAATTACCTCGGATGGTACAAGTTTGATAGTGCTACCTACCACGTCGGATGAACTTTCCATCACTTTCTGGGGAAAATAACAATGTGGTGTGAAAAAGAGAGGCTTTTGATGTACAAGTGTAGAAAGTGTAAAAATAAGAATGGTGGAGGGCGTGGTGTTCGATGCATACATAGCCGAACAATAAATAATTTATTTATGTTTTTATATATTTCTGTTACAAGGGCTAAAATCAATCTTTTTGAAACTTGGGAAACCAAATTATAGTTTACGATATTCTTACATATCTCTTATAAAAAAATTATAAATCTAACTCCTATTTGGTGGACGTCTTGGCAAATCAAGTTAATCAAGACCAAATTTTAATTGGGTAAATTGTCCTTATAGTACTTAAACTATTAATTTTGGTCCATTTTAGTATCTAAACTTTTAATTTTTTGAAAACCATACCTAGTTTTTGTTTCGTTTTAATATCTCATTGTTAAAAAGTTAACGAGTGATTTGCACATGGCATATTTTTTAAGGGTAATTTTCACTATTCATCACTCAACTATCTTCTCACTCCTTTTTTGGTCACTAAAATTTTTTTTTAATTTAATTACTTAACTTTCAAATTACTCCTAAGTTAATCACTCTAACTTTCAAATTTACTTTTAATTTTTTTTTGAACAATGACATCTAGATTTTATTAATAATGGAATGAATCAAAATTACAACGCATCAAAATATGGAGAAAAATTTGGAGACAATAGTCACCAAAATATTCATACAAAAGAAAAAATTAAAATTAAAGATATGAAGAAAACTGAAACATTCCAACAAGAATGGTGATCAATCATCAAAACCCAATAACCTTAAAAAAAACTCCTTGTCTATATCGAATGAGGCGCTTGAAAGAAAGGATAAAGGAGTGGAAAGCGAACCAAATAATCTGGCTGGCTTCTTCACTACACAATTTGATTTCATCGACAAACAACATTTTACCAAAAGAGTGGATCTGACTATACATGACCACCGACTAACAATCAGAATATAAATGTTGAGATGGTTTTTATGTGAGAACCAAAACGACCTCATATGTATGCGAAAAATGTACCAACAACCATGAGGATCGTGCCACAAGAGCATAGAAAAATCATGTCACAAGGACAGAGAATCTTATTCAGAATTAAAAAGACTCAAGCAAAAAAGATAAAAGAACTAATAGTCACAGGCGGTCAACAACCAATAATAAGATTGGTGCCGCCGTCAGCTAAACAAAAATCAAAGAGAAAGAAGAAGAAGATACAAAAATATTTAAATAAAACTAGTTGAAAGAAAATAGAGGCAGCTAGGGTTTAAGGGTTTTTTATTTCTTAATTATATATTAATAAAATAATAAAAAATTATTAAAATGATAAAAAAAATCATGTCCCAAAAATTATTTATAAAATAAATTAGAGTGATTAAAATAGGAGAAATTTGAAAGTTGAGTAGCTAAATTGAAAACTTGTAAACTTTAGTACCAAAATAGGAGTGAGAAGATAGTTGAGGGATGAATGATCTAACTCACCCATAAAAATGCAATAGATACTAAAATAAAACAAAAACTAAAGGTTAGCAATGGTTATGAAAAAATTGAAAATCTAGGTACTAAAACAGACAAAATCTGATAGTTTAGATATTAAATGTGTAAGTTACCCAATATAATTTGCAGTTATATTTCTAGAAGTTCAACAATCAACACATAAACAAAGTCTCAATTTTCCACAGAACATATTTGATTAATTAATTACCTTTCCGTCTCATTCACTGAAATTTAATGCCAAAAAATTAAAGTAACTTAAAAACGACTCGTGGGTTCAACTATTGGCCTAAACTTGTTTAGGAAATTGCCAGGTTATCACTTAATAACCATCTTTGGTTGATTAAATTCATCGAATACATCTCGTCTTTGTGTCGAGACCATGAAGCTTGAAATTAAGATTCGCAACTCATAGGAAACTACCCAATTGAATTCTACATCAGTTCGACATATAAATTTATTTTATATTTAGTATAATAAGAAAATAAATTTAATCTTTGGATCAATGAAAAGTGGCATTATTATTATTATATTGTTAATATAATGGTTCACGGTGTTAAATTAATAGTCAACAATATTAAGTTCATGTTTTACGATAGATGATGACTTGATAAAGAAATTTAATTGATTTTTCTGTAAAGTGTGAAAATTTAGTTATTTTTACGAGTTTGAATGATTTTATTTAATTTTTTAATTAGGAGAATATTTAAATTTGATATATAAAAATTATCAAAATGTTAAAAATAAATACAAAAACTAAAAAATAAATAATTTATTAAATTGACTTATTATACATGTTGTTTAGGTACAAAATTTTTAAATCACGATTAATCTAGTAAGAATATTTTATATAAGTGTTAAAGATATGAATGTATGATAATGAAAGCATGTGTAATACCTGTACATGTATGAGATAAAAGTGTATAATACGTGTGGTAATAATTCATATGTATATAAAATTAGATTTACTGATTTGACTATATGAATATGCTTAATTTACATTTGTTTATATGTTACGTGTATATATTATATATAACGTATGATAGATTGATAGTTGTGTTATCCTATGATGTTTGAGCTAAATGATGTTTCAAACACTCCCGATATGAAAATATATGTGTGTATATATGACGTGATTAGAATATGAATTATATCTTAGTTGTTATACGTGTATATTTGATGTACTTATACATTAAGTATGGATGGATGAGGAGGCTTTCAACATTGTTGAACACATGTGAATAACAAAGTCTTTCCAGACTTTTCTCCCTTGCTTCCCTTTGCGCACCAAAACCAACCATCTCGCCCACGAAATTTCCATGCATTGTTCTATGCCAATTATTCTGCAGCCCTCTCTCTCTCTCTTTATACGTCTGTGTGTGTGTGTGTCTGCAATCCATGAAGATGAAAAATGAAACACAGAAAATATATTCTGAATTATATATAGAGAGAGAAAGAGAGCAAAGCGAGAAGTGCAAAAATGGAGGTTGGGGGAGTCTTGTCGCAGGAGTGATGGCACTGCTTTATATAACTCAGCGCAGTGCCATCGCCTTGTGACAAGATACCTGCAACTTCTTTAATTTGTTCCTCCTTTTCCCAGTTTTCGTGGCCGACGATTGTCACCGATATTCATCGTCCCTGTAAGTGTTTTTTTTTTCTCTCTCGCTCGAAGTAATATCAACTCCATGGATTAATCAACCTGCATTCGCCTCAATCAAATCTCTTAATCAAGAGCTCCTATGATCCTTAGATTACCCTTCAAAGTATTTAAATCTAGTTTAATCTCTGGATGCTACCCAAACATTTTGAATAAATTTAATCTGAAATGACAACAATCCCTTGAGATGGAAAAATATAGAGATTAATCAGTTTGCATTTAGACCGTTCCCGCTCCACTTATTTTTGTTTTCCATCACGACAGATGCCTGTAACTACATATGGGACATATACTATTATTGTTCTTTTTCATCTGACATTTGTTTTTGGTTTTTACCCTTGTCTCTACTTACTCAACCCATATCACAAGGAGATTCTGTGTTTTAAATTCTGTCGAAACCCTTAACCTTATCCTCTCTGAGCTAACGATTCTTTGGTATCTTTCGGACTAAATATACTGTGTATGTTTCCGATTTAATTTTTTTGTTACTATAAATATAGTAAATCTTATCATTACACTTAATAATTTAGTGATAAATTATTACTCACTTAACATATCTTTAGTTTGGTTAGTTTTAACCCATCAATTGATCTCAACGTGCAATTAAAAGTAAGAAATATTGTTCTTTTTAAAATTTATGTGGCTAAGAAAGATTTTGAACAGATAATCTTCTAATCATTTCAGATTATTAAAAAAAA